TTTGGGGAGAAAGGAAGATGTCCCACTGATAACTGGGCCTCCAGCATCCAAAACTCGCGTGATTGAACTTCCAAGTTTGGGAAGAAACCGATCATCCACCAGATGACTAGAAATCGCTGCAGGACCACAAGAAATATGGGGAAGCAGGAAAATACCTCTCCCACAAGGGAAAAGGATAGCTCCTCTTTATCCACACACAGTTCAATGGAAATCATGGAAATGTCTGATAAAGAATTCAGAACATTCATAATGGCAAAGCTAACAGAGATGGAAGAGAAGAGAGACAAGGAACTGCTGAAGAGGAAGGAGAAAGGAGTTGAAGAGTTCCAGGAGGTGAGGAAATTCATGCTAGATCTAAAAGAGGAATTTCACACTTTACAAAAGAATCAGATGGAACTGTTAGAGATGAAGGCTATAATACAAGAAGTCAAAATCTCCCTTGACTAGATCATACAGAAAATAGTATCTCAGATGTAGAAGAGAAAATTGCTAGCCTAGAAAATTCCACCACGAAGACTGAGGAAGTGGCCCTAAAAAATGAGAATAATATTTGAGAAATACTAGAAACTATCAAACATCCAAACACCCAGATAATTGGTATCTCAGAAGGCAAAGAGACACATAATGGCATTGATAATGTATTCCATGAAATCCTGCAAGAAAACTTTCCAAACCTAGAGAGGTACTCAAAGATCCAGTCCCAAGAAATACAAAGAACCCCAAATAGAATCAACCCAAAAAGATCTTCTCCAAGACACATTATAGCCAGATTGACCAAAACCACAGACAAAGACAAGATACTAAAATTGGCAATAGAAAATCTCAAGTTACCTACAAAGGATAACCCATCAGGCTAACAGCAGACCTCTCATTGGAAACAATGCAAGCAAGGAAAGAAGGGGAAAACATATTTAAAGTGTTAAGGGAAAAGCAATTTCAACCAAGAATACTGTACCCAGCAAGATTATCCTTCATGTGGGAAGAAAAGACAAGAACATTCTCAGATAAACAAAACCTGAAAGAATTTACCGGCACCAGACCAGATCTCCAAGAAGTTCTAAAGGGAGTGCTATATCAGGAAAATTAAATACAGACACACAGAAATAAGAGCTCAAAAACTAA